AACTGGGCAGTCGCGACCCGGCACCCACCTCCCGAAGCAGCTTTAGGTCCCCGTGCTGGATTTCGTACAGCTGAATGACGCCGGTGCCCCGTGCGAAGTTGCCCATGGTCACAAATTTGGCGCTGCAGGGCACCCACTTACAGTCAAACACCGTGTAGTTGAGGCCCTTCTGGATATGGGCAATGATCTGAGGCTTCTCGAAGGCCGACATGGCCTAGCCGCTCTCTCCTCCGCCAACCCGCACTTCTGGACGCTGACAAACCCCTAACCTGGAAACCAGACTCCAAACATTGACGACCGCTCGTCCCTCCCGCTTGCCGTACTCGCCTCCTCCCCCGGCTCCCTAGCAAGTTGGATTTAGTTGTCTCAGATAAAGCCAGATGCACTACTGAAATCACACAAGATTTTCCTTCGTCGGCGGCACAAACCTGTTTATCGCCTTTACCTACTGCCTTTAGTACATATGCAGATTACAGATCACAAAACTCTTTGGCTGTGAGAGGGGGCCAGAGGGCGACCATAAGAATACGGCATATTTTAGAACAGCCCCCTTTCCTCCCCGGAAGAATCCAGCTTCAGGTCCCCTAAGTGGGGAGTGCTTAGAAAGGGGGCGGAGCCCTGGGTCTGGTTGGCGATCGCCCGAGCCAGCGTGATGCGCCTGCGCAGTGGAGCAGCGCACGTGTTCCAGCCGGAAGCGTCTGCTGGGGCTGGAGATTCCTGGGGATGGCAACCGAAATGGAGGCGCAGAGCGCCGGGGCCGAGGACGGGTTCACCCAGGTCACCCGCAAGGGTGGCCGGCGGGCGAAGAAACGGCAGGCTGAGGCGCTGTCCGCGGCGGCGGAGGGCGGGGACGCGGGCCGCATGGACACGGAGGAGGCCCGGCCCGCGAAGAGGCCCGTGTTCCCGCCCCTCTCCAGGGACGGATTCCTGGTACTGGCGGGACCCCAGGAGAGGAGCCGGGGTAGGGGCCAGAGGGAGGTCAAGTCGGTGGTCTCTGGATGATGTTAAAGCTGCAGGAGCTCTTCTGGCGTGAAGTTCTTAGAGAAGTGACTCCGCTGGAGTTTGGTTCGTTCAGATACGGGAAGCTTTTTTGTGGATTAGTTGTCATTTTTACAACCCCACCCCCATTCCTTCAGACGTCTCCTCAATTATGTTCATTTATTGTAGGATGGGAAAGAAGAAACAAGGAAAATCCCGGTACCATCTAACAGATATACGCCATTAAAAGAGAACTGGATGAAGATATTTACTCCTATTGTAGAACATTTGGGACTTCAGATACGCTTTAACTTGAAATCGAGGAATGTAGAAATCAGGGTAAGGAGAATGTCAACCGTTTCCAAATATACTAGGGTTTCTCTTACAGGGATGAAAATTCGTGAATAGACTTTGCGCAGTGGGACTTATGTTGTCAAATGGTTTTCTTCCAGTTTTCTAATTTAGTGAATTTGAACATCTCAAATGCCTTCAGGGCCTGCATTTAACACATATATAAGTTAAATTCGTAAGTTGAGCCTGAGATCATACCAAAATACCGGCTGTGTCTGTGCACATTATTTTTATCATGTTCTCTGTTGAACTGAGAAAAGGCCAAGTACAGAGGTTGTCGTAAACAGAAGTTTGTAAAAAATGAGCTGAAGTACTTGCTGCAGTGCAGGCACTGTATTTTAACAGTATTTTGTGAGGAAATGTATTATTTTAGGAATAAGTACAAATTTTATATACATATCTACATTATATACACATACACATGTATATGCGTGTGTGTGTATATGTGTATGGTGCTAGTGATGTTGAGCCTTTTTACAAATAGTCCAAATCACAGCTGTATCCCTTAGGTTCAGCAGTTCAGCTAAACAGGTTTATTGCATTTTTGTTTGTTTTTTTCATTCCATGGTGTCAGCCCAGTGGTAGACAGTCAAAATTAATTGACTTTGGGCTTCTTTTTCTGAGTGCCAATTTTGTATCAGAATCAAAGACCAAAATTAATTATGACCTTCATTTTTGAGGATTGTTATACTGTCATCAGGACTGGTATAGACTCATTGCCACTGAGGGACTAGAATAATGGACTAGAATAATGGATAAATTGAAATAATTGGTAAAGCTTAAAATAGAGAACTTGACAGTAGACTTCCTTGCCACTTTCATTCAGATTGTCATGGTTTCATGCCAAACTTTTTGTTTCCCTATAGGTTTCCCTTGCTTCATTGCTTTATATCATCCACCTCTCCATCCTTTATGCCAGAGCTGGATTAATTTTCCCACACCACACTGCTTTTATTATGATACCCTGGTATCTTCAGTGTCTGAAGGATTAAGAGTTAAATTTTTGACTGAACTTGCCTTTCAAGTAGGAGTCACAGTCCCAAGTTTGTTTCACCGTGTTTTTGAACATTTTTATGTCCATACATACGGGTGGCTTTCCTCTCTGACCCTGTCCTCCCTACATCCTTTGTCTTTCTATCTCAGTTTCATTCATCTCTCAAGTTCTTTCTCTTTTATGATCAGTCCATTTTTCAGTCATGCCTCAGTGCCTACATGTTTATTGTGCTTAGCTGTCATGTGTATTGCAACATCATCAGTTTGGGTTCCACTAACATTTGTTGATGCCTTTATATGTCAGACACATAGTGGTGCTGTAGCATGCACTACATCATTTTAGTCTTCGGGACAGCCCTGCGAGGTAGATGACATCTTATTTGAAATGGGGGGAAACTGTGGGTGAAACGAGTCATCTTGACCAGTCATCAAGCTGATAAGTGAACCTTGATGCTAGTAGGGATCTCTCAGGATCTCTTGCTCTGACCTCCTTATTTTACAGATGAAAAAACTTAAGACCTAGAGTATCTGTGGGACTTCCCTAAGGGCACATCTAGGATTGGGACTGGGATCTGGTTTTAAATGTCCCTCTATACAATCCTGTATGGTTTCATATTTGTCAAATACGTGGTATCCTCAATTAGATTGTGAGTCTGTGTGGGACAGTGGAAATAACAGTTTTGGAATCAGACCTGTGTTTGAATGTTACCTTTTCCACCTTCTAGTACTGTCATTGCCTCAAGCATAAGTCTTTATATCACTTAATATTCAGAGTTGTCATGAAGCTTAGAGCGATAGTAGGGAAAACACCTTTGTAGTGCATGTCATTTACAGCGGCAAGCATTGTATGACTAGCTGCTGTTACTGGGACTGTTGAACGAACTCTTTGAGGGCAGGATCCCTGCTTAGTAGTTAGTACTGGAGTTGTTGCTGTGGGAGACATCAGCTTATAAATGAAGTCAGGAGATTAGATCACAGCTTGCAGGGAAGACTTGAAAGAAAAGATAAGACATTGTCTTGGGCCTTGATGCATTGATGGGCTGGTCTGAGGACTGGTCTAAGGACGTTGAATTCCTTCAGCGTGTGTGCATTCCGGCTGCGCCAGATCAGTGATGGAGTATAGTCAGTCATTTGACAGTCTTGGTGGAACTGTCTATCTCTGGAGTTGGGAAAGTTTTGTTTTGCAAATTAAACACGGTACTTACCTCAGCAAAAACTGGGTCATGGAGAATACATTGGGAAACAGGGTGGTGGTGGAGGAAGTTACAATAAAGGGAAAGGTCATTCCTGGGATTCTGTTAGAATATTATCTTTTTCATCCACACCCGTAATCTGTGCCTTTTTAATACAGACTTGTAAAGAAACCAAGGATGTTAGTGCCCTGACAAAAGCAGCCGATTTTGTGAAAGCCTTTATTCTCGGGTTTCAGGTGGAGGTGAGTGATTTCATGACATCTAAAATGGGACCTTGAAAAATACTCAATATGAATGTTTCAGTGGATTGGGGCTTTTTTTTTCTTTTTTTAATTGGGGTTTTCGAGTTCTACAATTTGTGAATTTTAGCTTGGCACCCATTTTCAGGGATTTAAATGGAAGGGCTTCACAGTATTTATTTTTATATTGTAGGACGCACTTGCCCTCATTAGGTTGGATGACCTCTTCTTAGAGTCTTTTGAAATTACAGATGGTGAGTGTATGGCAGTCTTTTATTATAAAATACTGTACTTTTGTATTGCTGACTTTGCATTGTGTGTGACTCTTGGCTTTCCTATAGCATCAGTGAGCAGTATTTAAAAAATGTATATTTTATATCTGTTAGTAGGGAAATTTCATTAATGATTAAACTTTATGTGGAAATGGGTGGTGCACTGAAATGGCTCGCCTCTTGAGGTCTTGCTTTTTTCATTCAGTGAAGCCCCTAAAGGGAGACCACCTGTCAAGGGCAATAGGACGGATTGCTGGCAAAGGAGGAAAAACCAAATTCACCATAGAGAATGTGACACGGACGCGGATAGTTCTAGCTGACGTGTAAGTATGTGATCTTGAGAAAATTATTGTTATAATTTATATTTGATCTTTTGCTTGTTTCAAAAGTTCATAAAGGTTGTATTTTATGCATAATGTTGCCACTAAATCTTTGTCAGCATATGGTTCTGAATGAATAGTTACCTACTTTGAAAGCAGATTAACTTAGGAAAATCTTAGAAATTATAGTTTTTTTGTCAATTAGCAATGAAGGAAATATTTAGAACCACTATTAAAAGAAATTACATGACAGGTGAAAATTTAAATAGTTTCTTGGGAATCTATTAAGTCGGTAGGGGAGAGCAAGGAGTGGGTGTTTTCAATGCCATTGTGAGGCTTACCTTTAAAATATATATATAAAGGCCTTTCATAAAAGGAAGGTGAGTAGTGTACATTGGGTGAAGACTAGAGAAGTTATATGTGAACACAAATAAGATGATACAGGCTTAAAGTAAGGGTGCAAGAAGTCAAGCTGGGATTACCCCTCCATGAGATTGAAGCTGCTCCGTTGCGAGGTCAGGATTACTGACAGATGGCTCAGAGGTTATATAATGCCACGAAGTTGGGAGAAGCAGCAGTTGACTGAGGAGGAGGGATCTGCCAGCTACTGAATCCAGAAATAATTTTATTTGAAATCATCTCATCCTTGCACTAAACTGAGAGGCTCGACTGTTTTTTATACTTCAAGAATAACTCTAATGCTACATTGGTGGCCCTCTTTACCTGAGGACAGTTGTATTATAATTTTGGTCTTTTATGAATTGAGTCTAGAGTTGGGAGTAGGGAGCCAGGGGAAACGTTTTTTTTGAACTAGAATTTTCAAAAATTTTGAAATGTATACATTTTAAAATATCATATATAGCCCTAAAAACTTAATTTAGAAATCTAAAAATATAACTGATTTTCTAATCAAATTATGGGTAGTACATCTTAAATTTATAAGTGTATTTATAAGTGTTAACTTAAAATGTACTAGTTGAACTAATTTTTAACAGCTTTACTGTGGTATGATTTATGTACAATAAAATCCACCTGTTTTAAGTATACAGTTTAGTGGGTTTGGGCAGAGGTTCTAGTCCTGTAATCCCACTTCACTCACTCAGTTCCACACCCCCCCCCAAAAAGTTCAGTGTGCACCTCTACAGCCCCACCCATTCCCAGGCACTCACCAATCTACTCTGTTGTCACTATGGTTTTGCGTTCTCTAGAAATTCACAGTATGTAGTCTTTGGTCTGTGACTTCTTTTAGTTAGCATGTTGTTTTGAGTCTCTCCATTTTGTTGGATGTATCAGTAATCCCTTTTTATTGCCAGGTACCACTGTATGGATATAGTTTATCCATTGACAGTTGATGGACATTGGGATTTTCAGTTGGATGCTGTTATGAATAATGCTCTTGAGTTACTTTTTTATATCGTGTGTGTGTGTGTTTACAAATTGAATTACACACTGCTCAAAATTAAATGTATTATCTTTAGTTTTTGCTATAAATAGGCTAATTGGAAATCCACAAGTTGAACAGTTCATACTATGATATAGCCATAAAGTGGACTGTTATGCACCTGTTATTTTTGATGAGTTGCTAATCTGGCAAAATACAATATAATGTGTAAGATATAAAACTAAAAAACAACTTGTTCCAGATGTATGCAGTATATCAGATGGGAAGTCATGTTGTCTGTATGTCCTGAGACCTACATTCCAGTCCAATTACTACCCCATTACTTTGGTTGGTTTAGTAGGAAAACTACTGACGCTTTACGTATTCTTGCTCTCTGTGTTCTTATCTTTCATGCTATATTCTAAAGAATTTTATTTTTGTCAGATAGACACCTACTTTAAAAAGCTCCAAATTTCTAATTTTTTTTTTCAGATTCACTGTAGACTTTCTACCATGAATAATGAGGATTTAGTTTTCTTTGACCCCCCCCCCACACACACTCACAATCCAGTTTACTATTCTTCCATATCCTGTCCGTACATTGTGGTTTTTGTTAGACAGTGTTCAGTATTACCTGCTGCCAGACTCTTGGAGCCCAGTTATGAAAAACAGTTGGAGGTCCCAACATTCAGTGTGCAAATGCTTGCTTGACATTGCCTGTTTTGTTTGGTTTTTCTAAAATATATTTTTATTGATTTTAGAGAGGGAGAGGGATAGATAGAAACATAGGTGAGAGATTTATCAATTGGCTAGCTCCTGCATGCCCCCCACTAGGGATGGAGCTGTCCTGACCTGGAATCGAACCGGGGAACCTCCCAGTTCATGGGTCGGTGCTAAACCACTTAGCCATGCTGGCCAGGCGACCGTGCCCGTTTTTAACATGGTACTTCTTCAGCTGAGCTTGGTACCCATGTTGTTTTGACCTCCAGTAAACAACTTCCTCTCCCTGCAATAATTTTGCCGGAGTTACAGAGGGGCAATTGCCTGTTTGCATGGAATGGGGGAGAAAACCAGGGGATCATCTTGAACAGACTTTAACTGATTCTCTTGTTTTTAGCTTCACTCTTACCCCAGTTTTAGAAATACCTGAGCTGACGGGGCGAGAGAGTTCCTCTTGGGGTTCCCACGGCTGGTTTTAGATGGCTTGCTGGCATTTTGGAAGATGGGTTGAAAAGGCCCACTGCTCCCTTGTTGATCTTTGTCATTCAGCAAGGAAAGGCCATTGAAAGGGTCCGGGCGATCCCCAGTGATCTTTAGAAAGCTGTGCAGTTGAAATCCAAAGATGTGAAGTACAGTATTCCTTGCATTCCTGGGTGCTCAGTAATCCCAGCTCTGCCCGTGTGCAGTCTCGGATGGGTTTCTCGTAAACCTTTTCCTCGTCTGTAAAATGGTAGCACCACCTACCCAGTGCCGCTCCTGTGAGCACTGAAGAACACGCGTATGAAGCCCTCACACTCACGGCAGTCACTGGGTGGCAGCTGTTATTTACCAGAAATCTTAACGTCTTAGTTTTGTTTTTTTATTTTTAGTTTATGTCAGATATAATTTACATACTATAAAATTCTCCCTTTCAAAGTGGGTTCTTGGCGTATTTACAGAATTGTGCACCCATCATCCCGGCCTTTATGTAGGAATCTGTATGCATCATAATTTTTCAGTTTCTGGATTACAGGACTTAGTTTAAGGAAATGTTTTTTGTTGCTAACTTGTGTCACTTTTTTTCTTGCAGGAAAGTTCACATCCTTGGCTCTTTCCAAAACATCAAGATGGCAAGAACTGCCATTTGCAATCTCATCCTGGGTAATAATTTGTTGCTATTTTCTCTGGAAAGAAAAGAATAGGGAATCTAGAATAAACCAGATTTGCAAGTCAGCTAAGGGAAATGTTCAAGATAGCAAATAGAAACTCTTGGGGGCTGGTAAATGTGGACCAGAGAAGAAAATAGGGATCTTTTTGCTTGGAATCCTTGTCTGCTGGAGAAGAGAAAGGGTTGATTGGCTTATATTGCTTAAATCTTTGCTGCCTTCTGATGAGGTGCACAGAAAAGCCAGTCCAGAGCATCAGGCAACACCCATGTTTTAGGTTCCACAAAAAGGGAGCTGCTCATCAGCACCAGTCAATCCAGTTGTTCCCATCTCCCACCAGGCAGCAGAGTCAATAAATGACAAGTTACTGGAGTGTAGCAGTGTGCTCAGCAAACACTTGAAATTCTCCCTTGGTGCCCAGGTCTGACTGACTAGTTTCTTTTAGAAATATTTTGGCTCTTAAGGATTTAAAATGTTTTGTGTTTTTCTAAGAATATTTGGGCATGGTTTCCTTTTTAGGCCTTTTGTTGATTTCAGATAGATCCAATGGAAAATGTTCCTGTTCTTTTTAGAGTTTTGTAGACCATTTTCATGTTGCTTCTGTATGGGATTATATTTCTATAGATAAATAAGCTTTTTTTTCTCTCTCTCTACAGGAAATCCTCCATCGAAGGTTTATGGCAATATTCGAGCTGTGGCTAGCAGAGCAGCAGATAGATTCTGATTTCAAATCAGTTTTCTTCTTGCCTTTGGACTCTAGAGTAAAAGACCTTGTAGGTGGTCACGAGGAACCACGTGAAAAATTTTTCAGTCACTTTAAGCCGCAGTCTCTTCTTCAGTTCTCAGCAAAGAAGTATAAACAGAAAGGGAAAGTTTGACACTTTTCACTCAACAGCTTTGAGGATAATTTAAGTATCAAAATTCAGTACCATTATTAAACATCAATTATAATTTTTTTCATTTTAAATTACATGTAACAGATTTGCAGTTTCTAATTCTCTCATTTGGAGGGAAAATTCTTTTCTGTATGAATTTATAAGTTTTTTTACTTATAAATTTATAAACATTTCTTCTCTATGAATTGTAATTAAAGCACTATCTCAGAAAACCTCTCTGAATCATGACCCTTAATACTGGTAGGGTGTGGCTATTTTAGAATCAGGTCGTAAGCAGCAGTTTGGCTACACTGTGTGAACCAAGAAGGCTAATCTTTGTACCTGTTTTGCCACTTGTAAAATTAAAATTAAAGACATATCACAACACAGGGTTGACATGAGGGAAGAATGTTATTTTTCATAAGTATATGTGTTGGGTTTATTTCTTCTAAGTAGTGAAATACGGTAAAAGAATGTTTTTACTCTTAAGAAAATATGTTCTTCAAATGTAAAATTGTTTTAACAGTAGTGTCTGCCTACTTAAATATTACCTAAGTTTATGCATTTTTTAAATGAAGGAACTCACTTCATTACATTTGCTTGTTTATATCTAGAACCCCTGACCAAAACTTTTCAACTTTAATGACAGGAGTATTTGAAAGTTCATGTAAGAACTAGAAAAAGTATTAAGCTTCTGTTTCCTTTTTATCAGTTACATGTGCTACCGTCCCAAACTAGTCTGTACATTGCATGGGATTGGATATACTTATATATTATGGTGGGAATCCAATGGGGAATTGCTGGGAAGATTTCCCACCCAAAATAATTTATCCTTTGGCAACACAGCAGCACAAAGAGAGTATGTGTGTGATGGTATCAAATCTCTCTACTCATAAACTTGGGATGCTGAACTTCGACTTAGCACCTTGAGTTCTGGGCACCTCCCTGGTCAAGCATTTATCCCCTCACCAGGGGAGCAATACTAACTGGGGTTTGAAAGGGAGATAAAATGTTGGAGGAAACCCAACTAATTCTTAGAGTGAGAATGACGAAGGAATTAGAGAGAAATCTACATCACAATGACAGTTGATCTTAACAACCTGGATCAAATCACCACTAAATCTAACACCTCAAACCTTAGCCATAGGTATCCATTTCTATGGCATTTGTCATGTTATACTGTAATTAGTGTCTGCCTCTCACCCTGCTCAGTATGTAGCACAATTTCTGAAATATAACAATTTACTATTACTGGAAAATGGACCTCAGGAGTATTTTCTTAGGTATTCAGTGGCTAATAATGGTCTTCCTAGTGATTCCAGATTTGGGCTCCCAACTCTCATGCTACATAGAATTAGGGTGGTAGAGAAGACAGTTCATGCTCGTTGAGCATCTGGAAAAGAGACCTAACTTTCCTGAGTTCAGCCATGTTAAGATTGGGCCAGCATAATTACTGAAAGTATACAGCGACAATGTACATAGCTGTCCTACAACCTGCAAAATGCTCATATTGTGCAAATGTTAATTTGGTCAAATCAAGTAAATCTCTAGGTTTGAGCGAGCAAGGACTTTGATCTGGTTAGCTGACTTATAATGCCTGGGGAAGTGAAAGGCAGAAGTGCCAAAGGACTTCAGCTTACACGTCAGCTAATGCAATAAGATACTCGAGCTCGTGGGAATTTTTGAAGACTAAGACACATGACACATGAGTTTGACCAATATTTAAGTCCCGGAAACAAGATTGAGATTTTTTTCACTGTCTTATGTACTCTTTTAAATTGTAAATACATAAAGTTCACCATTTTAACCATTTTTAAGTGCACATTGTTGTGCAATTACCACCATCTTCCATCTCCAGAACGACCTTCCCCAACTGAAATTGTACCCATGAAACACTAATTCCCCATTTCCCCCTCCTCCTGACCCTTGGCAACCACCATCCTACTTTCTCTTAATTTGACAACTTCAGGAACTCAGAAGTAGAATGATACAGTGTTTCTTTTGTAACTGGCTTATTTAACATAATGTCACGTTTCCCCAATGTAGACAAGTCAAACTTTCTCTTTAAGGCTGAACATTATAGGTATACCATCTGTCAGGTGCATTGGGTTGCTTCTACCTTTTGGCTATTGTAAATAATGCTATGAACATGGGTATACAAACATCCTTTAAGAGTCCCTGCTTTAACTTCCAAGTGTATACCTAGAAGTGGAAATGCTGAATCATGGTAGTTTAATTTTTTGAGGAATGTTTACCGCTTTCCACAAAAACTGCGCCATCTGACATTTCCACCAGCAATGCAGTAAGGTTCCAATTTCTCCATATTTTGCCAATATTCTTTTCTCAGTGATAGCAATAGCAATGGGCACGAACCAGTATCTGGTGGTTTTGATTTGAATTTCCAGTGACTAGTGATGTTGGGCATTTTATCATGTGTCACTGGCCATTGTATCTTCTTTGGAGAAATGTCAAGTCCTTTGCTCATTTTAAAATCAGGTGTTTACTGAGTTGTAAGAGTTCTTTATATGTGGATAGCAATCTCTTATGATTGACAAGTATTTCCCCCAGTTCTGTGGGTTGCTGTTTCACTCTGTTGAGTCATCTTTTTTACTCTTAAGAGCATTAGAACTAGGTAAAGAAAGGAAGACCTAGGGCTTAAATGCATCATCTATTGATTTAGGCTTAACTAACTCTATTCCTACGGTAGTCTAAGGGGGTGAAAGAATCCAGTGCATATCATCTCATACCTAGTACATAGCTGATATGGGTGTCCTGGGTATAAAACACCCCCAACAGCGTTAACTCATCTGGGCCAGGTATGTCACTTACCTATCACAACTATCTCAAGTGCTTATTATAGCGCTAGGCATGTTAGTAGGAATTCTACAAAGTTGAATGAAAGTCTCAAGAAAAGTACTAATTTTTATCTTTTGAAGCGTAACAAAGTACTGAATAAAATTTATTACACTACAGGCTGGGCAGAATTCTAGACAAATAAGGCTACCAGTGAACAAGGGACAGAAATCCCTGCTCTTACTGAGCTTTCATCCATTTTATTTCAATAACCTGAAAAGACAAATACATAAAATCTCTAAGTATACTCTGTCAGAAGATGTTAAATGCTTTGGAAGAAGAAAATAAAGTGGGATAGAGGAGACTCAGGTGTATTCATATATTTAAATACAGTGGCCAGGACAGTTGCTGTTGAGCAAGGCTGCACCTGCACGAAGACTTGGAGGCATTAGCTGTGGGACATCTGGTGGGGAGAGTGCAAAGCCTACAGCGGAAGTAAGCAAGGGCTCCAGACCACATGGAGGCTAAGGCGGCTGGAAGCAGAGGAAGGGTGAGGCAGAGCAGTAAAAGAATGAGAGGGCTTAGGAAGTGGTAATGACGTGCTTTTACCCAGTGATAAAGCAGGTTTATTTTTACCTATGGATTACATCAATTTATCAGTTTTTTAAAAATCCAAAACAGTGAAAAAATACTAGAATGGCTTTAGAAGCCCACCAAAGACCACTGTGGATACACTCAAGTTCCAAATATTTTATTTTCTTATTCATACAGTATGAAGTTTTCTAAAGATCCCACAACATGACGTTTCATGCAGAAGAAAAACTAAACATTCAACA